ACATATTTCACTGCACTAGCTGAATTGGAAGATGGTGTAAAAAATACTCTGCAGAAGTTACTATTTTTGTTGTAAATGCCACAATTAATTAAAATGACACTACAACGTTCATCCTTAGATATTATTTTCTTGAAGTTTATAAAAAACTGTATTTTAGACAAATACTTTGACAATGAATCAAATCCAATCAATCAATCTGTTTCAGTCAACTTCAACTTACCGAGTTACCGAGCAATTTAAGTCATATAAAATGGGCTCTAACTTGTTTCATTTTGGTGGTTGAATAAGCTGAAAATGGAAAAATGCAGTGAAGGAGTTACTTTTTATTTATGAAATGGGTGAAATACTGAAATTGACACTTTTAGTCTTCTGCCTTTACATTTAGATATCATTTTCCTTAACTTGTTCAGATAGATTGATATGTACTTGTATAAATTATTTAGACAGTTCAGTCTATTCATCCATTTCCAGCCGCAGCTTTATCACCCTCAGCCACTTCAGCCATTTTGAACCTATACAAGCTCTTAGTATTGCTATTAAAATATTGATGGTCGGCTTACATATGGTGCATTCATGTCATATTTTACTGCTCTTAGGACCTATGTTAAGCTCAGGAATGTGCACAGAGGTATTCCAGTTTGACGTGTCATCGGCCATAGTTCCAGCCAGCTCCCTGAGGAATATATCTCAGAGTGCCAAAAAGGGGAGAAATAGAAGGATCCTCCACAGTCTTGCCGTTCCTCTTTCCGCATCACCTCACAACATATCTGCTGAAACAGTGGAAATAAATGGGGAGGAAGAAGAGCTGAAAGGAAACAATTCTCTGTCTTCTTCATCAATGGTTGTTTCTGTGCTTGTCGATCCGAGGGAAGGTGGGGATGGGGATGCTGATGGGGTGATGGGAAAGAAGTCTCTCTCTCGGATATTTGTTGTCGTGTTGGTGGATAGCGTAAAGTATGTAACTTACTCATGCATCCTTCCTTTGAAGGGATCTGTCCCTCATCTAGTCACTACCTGAGGAAGGAAAGAGGTGTTAGGTTAGTTAAACTCACCCATCTTCTGAAGCAATTTTGTGGAGAGCTCATATGCTGGGACGATGTTGATGATAGAGAATGACAGAAGTGGAATAGCGTAATTTATATGTTTAATAACAATGAGGACTTTTATCTTCTTCTTTATATTAGCTTCTTCTCATGTAACCTTGCACCTGATACAAGAGACTAGTTCTAAGACTTCTAACTTGTGTACGATATCATGTGTAATTTTCTCCTTTTGTATTTCATAGATGTGGCTTCTACATGATCAACTCTTGATCTACTATACTCCATTTGGTGTTTCTTAATATAAATCACAATATAGAATGAATTCAATATGCTTCTTATAAAGCATTTTGCTATTCTGGTGAAGCCTTCAATATATCTTTCAAATGTGTCATTAAAGACTTGTGTAGGTTTGTGATTTCCATTAATGATGAAATTACTTGATGGGGGTAACATTGGTAGGACCGTAGGAGCGGTCGCAGGCCAGGTGCGGTTCGATTTTGGTGAAATGGTAGGAGTTGAAATGGGTCTGCTTCGATTCTGGTGAAGTGAATTTGATGGGGCTAACATTGTAAAGGGTGCACAGTGCACACAGGCCGGGTTCAGCTACGTAGGGGCTGATTCCCAGTCCTATTTCTGAGCACTGGTTCCCATCTGGTCTACCAGGACAGTTTCGGTCCTGCTCTGAACCGTTTTTTTTCCCTTTAATTACTCCCTCCGTATTTAAGTGATCCATACGTCGGGTTATGACACAAGATTTAAGGGAGAATAGTAGGAGCAATGAATAGTATAGAAAAAATAGGAGAGAAAGTAAAAAAGTAGAAAAAAGAGGATAAAAAGTAGAAAAAGTAAGAGTAATTAAGTATTTTTAAAGGAAAAACTTACCAAAAAGAAACAGTGTATGGAACTTTAAATTACATTCCAAAATGAAAAGTGTATGAAATTTTAAAATACGGAGCGAGTATATTACTCCGTATATGATTTTGTAATACAAATAAATATTACTCCCTCCGTCCCAGAATTAACTTCGGTTTTGACTGGGCACGGAGATTAAGATAGTGGGAAATATGTGGTGGAGAGTTGTGCAGAGGAAAGAGAAATGTGTAAGAATGGTTGTGAACCACAAATTCTTTGCCAAAAAGGGAAAAAGGAGATAAATTTGGGACGGACCGAAATGGAAAGAATGAAGATAATTTCGGGACGGAGGGAGTACGTATGTTATTTGTAGATAATCTAGTAATGATATACACATACATGATACATGTATTGGTATTAATTTGTATATAATCTAAGTACTTAACTCGCAACTCGGTGGCAATAAGCACTGATTACTCGAGATTACTTGACCATGTATGATTTAAAGTTAAAAACATAAATACCCCAGGTTTAATAGTATTCTAGTCTTATACCTCTAAAAAAATACTAGTCTTATAATTCTTTAATATGAATAAAAGACTAATATCCTACAGATGAAGTAGCAATAATTCCAACAATTATAAGCATTCTGGTTTCTAAGAAAATCAATCTCGTGATAGTACTTCATTCTGAACTTTTATCTTGAAGACCTAAATTAATTCATTGGGTTTAAGATCCTCATTTTCTTCTGTATCAAACATTGAAATAAAATAGTTGGTTATTCCTCCTGTCACGTTTATATTTTAGGATGTAATCCAACTCTTAACATGATATCAACCACGGTTCAGTTGTGTTTTTTTTTATCTTTGTTTAGAACCCATGACTAATGGTAGCTCATTAGAGATTCGTTTAGCACATTTATAACCCCACTGTCTAGCTCGATTTGGATTGAAAAGGCTTGTTGAGTTATTGATCCCACACCGAATTAGTATACATAAATGAAGCACTATATAAGATCTTAGAATTCTTCTCGTATCTGGTTGACCTTGAAATTTGGAGTCTTAATATCCATTCATTTATAAAATTATAAACATATTCTTAATTCTTAATAATAAAAACACATACCTAATCAATCTTATTTGATTGACCACCTCATTTGTAGTATCATAAATGTCTAATTGTGCAAATTTAGCCACTCTTATCCACTTTGGCATAAGACCACCCACTTTAGGCACTCTATTCTAGTTTGTCTATGTAATTTGAAAACTAAAGGAGACTTACTAATGTTGTGACTAACATCAACGGTGAAAATTTGGTACGCCTTTTGCCATCACCGTAAATATGAAATGTCTAAGTAATACAACATGTTATGAAAAGCACTCAAATTTTGAAATAGAGGTATAATACTTGAGGCATATAAGTCTCATTAAAATGAGAAAGTGGCACACTAAATAGTATGCTTAAGACATGAGATAGAGAAATCACTTATTGACTTATTAGTTAATAGCATCGATAAGCCTATGATTTAACCTGATTCATAAAATTTCTAAATGTCAAAACGTGTGAAGAAGAAGGTGTTGAAAAGTGTAATTTTTGGTTACACATATTTTGCAAATTGGGTGTGATTTTAAACGATACAAATAATTCTAATCCACATCACATGATATTTAACTATTAATATTTAGAGTGTGTGTAGTATATCACTATGAGTAAATTTAGGGGTGTGCATTAATCGGGTAAGACCGTAATTTGGACTTGAACCGGACCGGTCCGGACCGGACCAGTATAAACAGTTCTTATAATTTTACGATTCCGGGTTTGCGGCCCGGTCCGGGTCAAACCCGGAAAAAATAGGCCCGGACCGGTAGCCCATTTAGTTAGTGTTCCATACGAAATATATGCTTTGGTCCGTATGAAATTAGAGTAAACCGCCTACACACCTAAACTACCAACACACTGAATTGCATTGAGTAATTGAGTTTTATCAATAAATCTAACCATTTTGAATTGGAGTGTTGTTACTGTTTGTTGGCGTGAAGCCCTTTCATGGATTGAATATTTTTTTTTTGTTAAAACCATAATACTTCGTATTTATAATAATATAGTTGAGAATCAAATTCCATATCAATTCATACTAGAAGCTCCACTAGATGAGTTGTTTCTAAGGTGTTCTCTTCTTAATTTTAAGTCCATTGGTCAAACAGTTTTAACAATTATATTCTCTTGTTAGTTTTAGCAGAAGTATGCTCTGTTTGGTAGCCATAGACCACTTATTTTGCTTATAGCATTATAATAATCAAAATAAGTTTCAAAATTAGTACTTCTTTAGTTCTTCATGCCGTTTAGTAATATTGCTCAAGTGTAAAATATAATACTCTAATACTTTCGTATTAAAATTACTGTATATTCTTATGTGCTAAAGTCTCTGGATGTAGTTTATACATTTTCAGTAGACTACAGGGTTGTCTTGTGCCCTTGGATAATGGATGTAGTTTAGTTTTTATTTAGTTATGGTATTCTATTTAGCACATTTTCACATGAGATTACTTCCCAAAGTTGATAAATAAATGAAATTATTTAATCCATTTAAAAAACCTGGTCAATTATGGTTAAAACTAGACCAGGCCGGAAAATTCAGGCCCGGGTCGATCTTGACCGGTTAGTATCAGGTCCGGTCTTTGAACCTTATAAAATTGAGATTCCGGTTCCTGTCCAAACTGGTTCTGGTCCGGTTTTAGACTGGTGCACACCCCTATGATCGAGTAATAGTGGGAAAGTATACAACACCATATTGATCAATTTGGCTTTTGCGTTTGCCAACGCACAATTTTGATTGTAATTATATTTAATTACAAATTAGTAAATGTTAAAAAAATTAATATTTTGAAAATTTACATTAATAGAGATTTAATAATATTTTACACATAATACGTCGACTATATATAGTATTAGAAATTCGTAATCAATGTAAGATTTGTGAATAATGTAAAAAAAGAACGAAGAAAGTATAATATTTTTAGAAACCAGCACATTAGTGAAATTTGTTAGTGCAACTAAAATTTCATCTAAAATCTTTAACCGACTTCAATGCTTCGAAGTGGGTACTAAAAGTAGAATACTCCATCTAAAATCTGCCAAATTAAATGAATAAAGTTATTAGCCCACAGTGTTTGATCCGGTCCAATTCATCCGATCTGCCGTCTCTCTCGACTGCTCACATCTCTCAGCCAGACGGTCGCACGCTTCTCTCCGTTTCCATCTCCTCTCCCCCTTCGGTCGGACACCACGCCGTTCGTCTAATGTCCTGAGGTTAGTCGATTTTTACGAACTGTCTTCTTATTTTATCTCACCTTGTTTTGTTTTTTCCTGCATACCTTATTTTATCTTATCAGCAATGAATAGATCAAGCTTAGAGAATTAGATGATCTTGTTGAGGTTCGTTTTTTATTTGTTATTTCTTTAAAGGATGAATAATTTTCTAAACTAAGGCCTTGTCAGAAGCTGTAATTTAATGACCAACCAATATGCTGGCAGTGTAATACGGAGTAAGCTGCAATTTAGTAAAGTCATCATTTTCAGGCAGGAACACTTATCCCAGGCGATCTAGCTTTTATATATGTATAGAGATTGCGCAAGCTCAAGAGTTTGCACTGCATTGTGTAGTTATAGAAAAAGACTGAAGTTTATATATGAAGTTTATGAAATTGCATTGTATATGTATAGAGATTGCGCAAGATGCTAGCTACTATATATGAAATTGAAAAAGACTGAAGTTTTGTTGGTGCAATTTTCTTTATAAGGGTAATTTGACAGGAAAAGTGATTAGTTCATTGTTTATTTCATCATGTGAAATTTAATGATGCTGACGATGCATATATATGTATGCAGAATTTGGTTAGAATTATGGCTTCTAAAACTAAGAGGAGGACTGTGACGGAAAATGGCGATGCAGCTGAGGATACTGTCCTTGTAACCATGATAAATAATGGGGACGATTTAGGTCCTTTGGTAAGGCATTCTTTTGATGGTGGAAAACCAGAAGCCCTTCTACAGCAGCTTAAAAACGTTGTCAAGAAGAAAGAAGTTGAAATAGAGGAGCTTTGCAAACTTCACTATGAGGATTTTATTCTTGCTGTGGATGAGCTTCGTGGCGTACTAGTTGATGCTGAAGAGCTCAAAAGTGAACTTGCAACTGATAATTTTAGGTTACAGGAAGTCGGAAGTTCTCTGCTCTTGAAGCTCGAAGACCTTCTTGAGTCTTATTCTGTTAAGAAGAATGTTACGGAAGCCATTAAGATGTCCAGGAACTGTCTACAGATACTGGAGCTTTGTGTCAAGTGCAATGCCCACATCTCTGAAGGACAATTTTACCCTGCTTTGAAAGCTCTAGATCTTATTGAGAAAAGGTATTTGCAGAACATTCCTGTCAAGAAGCTCAGGGCGATCATTGAGTCAAGAATACCGCTCATAAAATCACACATTGAGAAGAAAGTATGCACTGAAGTTAATGAGTGGCTAGTTCATATAAGGAGTAACGCCAAGGATATTGGGCAGACTGCGATAGGATATGCATCATCAGCTCGTCAGAGGGATGAAGATATGCTAACTCGTCAAAGGAAGGCTGAAGAACAGAGTTGCTTGGGTTTGGGAGATTTCACGTATAGCTTGGATGTTGAAGAAATAGATGAAGAATCCATTTTAAAGTTTGATCTCACTCCTCTTTACAGAGCGCACCACATTCACAAATGTCTTGGAATTGCAGAACAGTTTCGTGAATACTACTACAAAAATCGCTTCTTGCAGCTAAGTTCAGATTTGCAGATATCCTCATCCCAACCATTTCTTGAATCCCATCAGTCCTTTTTGGCTCAGACTGCTGGATATTTTATTGTTGAGGATCGCGTAATGAGGACTGCTGGCGGGCTTCTATCACCAAGTCAACTCGAGACGATGTGGGAAACGGCAGTGACTAAAGTTACCTCAGTCTTGGAGGAACAATTCTCACATGTTGATAGTGCCAGTCATCTTCTCATGGTCAAAGACTATGTCACTCTTTTTGGGGCAACCCTCAGACAGTATGGCTATGAAGTAGGCCCAATTCTAGAGACTCTCAATGGCAGTCGTGAAAAGTATCATGAACTTCTTTTGGCAGAGTGTCGACAGCAAATCATTGACATAATCACTAATGATACATATGAACAGATGGTGATGAAAAAAGAGTCGGACTACCAATCAAATGTATTAGTCTTCCATCTTCAGACCTCTGATATAATGCCAGCATTCCCTTTTATTGCTCCCTTCTCTTCGATGGTACCTGATTGCTGTCGATCAGTTAGAACATTCATCAAGGACTCGGTTAATTATTTATCTTACGGAAGCCAAATGAACTTCTTTGATTTTGTTAAGAAGTATTTGGATAAGCTTTTAATCGATGTCCTAAATGAAGCAATACTCGATACGATCCATAGTGGTACAACTGGTGTGTCTCAGGCTATGCAAATTGCTGCAAACATAGCTGTTCTGGAAAGAGCATGTGATTATTTTCTCCAACATGCTGCCCAACAATGTGGGATACCTGTCCGTTCTGTTGAAAGACCTCAAGGCAGTTTGACCGCCAAGATTGTTCTCAAAACATCAAGGGATGCTGCATATCTTGCTTTGTTGAGTTTGGTAAATGCGAAATTGGACGAGTTCATGTCACTTACTGAAAATGTGAACTGGATAGTAGAAGATGCTTCTCAGCAAGGGAATGAGTATATTAATGAGGTTCTTATTTACTTGGACACTCTAATGTCCACTGCTCAGCAAATTCTACCTCTAGATGCTCTTTATAAAGTTGGAAGTGGTGCACTTGAGCATATTTCCAACTCAATTGTGGGAGCATTTCTTAGTGACAGTGTGAAGAGGTTCACCGCTAATGCTGTTGTGGGCATAAACCAGGATTTGAAGGCATTGGAAGCTTTTGCTGATGAGAAGTTCCATAGCACCGGGTTGAGTGAAATTTATAGTGAAGGGAGTTTCAGAGGATGCTTGATAGAGGCTAGGCAATTGTTAAACCTTCTGTTGAGCAGTCAACCTGAGAACTTCATGAATCCTGTGATAAGGCAGAAGAACTATAATGCTTTGGACTATAAAAGGGTTGCAACCATTTGTGACAAGTACAAGGACTATGCTGATGGAATATTTGGAAGTCTTGCAAGAGGAAATGCTAAGCAAAGTGCCCGGAAAAAATCCATGGACATGCTGAAGAAAAGACTGCGGGATTTTAACTGAGAAACCGGAATATATGGATTAGAAAGTAGTACCGAAATTCTTTTGATTTTGGGTGAAGATAAACAAAATTCTTTTATTTTCTGCTTATTATTTAAATTTTATTCAATTTTGACCTGAATTTTCATGTAAATCTGATCCCACCAGGAGTTATCTCCTCATTCCTCCCTTTTACTTGTGGGTGCTGATATGAAGTAGGAAAATAATGCTGTTTCTGATTTGCTAAGTATACATAATGTGTATGAGAAACAATCTTAACTGAAGCGCAGAGTAAGGTATCAGTTGCATCATGCAGTATTGAGAAAGGGTGAGGAAGGTGCGCAAAACTGTGTGTTTCTCCTGTTTTCAGAGTTGCCATTTGCATTTTCAAGGTATGAGTTGCTTTATGCATTTTCAAGGTATGCATTAATCTTAAAGGAGTAGTGACATCATGGGTTTGAGAATTGGCACCTTCTTCAAACGGTAATTTAGGGGTGGCAAAAGAATCTATCGTTCCATGAAAAGGTAAATCCATCTGATCAATCTGCTAAAGATTTGGCCTTAATTTTTTGGATTGAATCAATTCAGTTGTACTAAATGTAGGGAGCATGATCCATCTATTATTTTTATGATTTTTTTATTATTCCATTGGATCACATCGAGAAAATCCTCAAAATCTATTGGAATTAGTGATTTTTTCACATTTATAGATAAGTTATTACTCTAATGCTTACTCCCTTCGTCCCAGAATTAACTTCGGTTTTGACTGGGCACGGAGATTAAGAAAGTGGGAAATGTGTGGTGGAGAGTTGTGCAGAGGAGAGAGAAATGTGTAAGAATGGTTGTGAACCACAAATCCTTTGCTAAAAAAGGAAAGAAGAGATAAATTTGGGACGGACCAAAAAGGAAAGAATGAAGATAATTATGGGACGGAGGGAGTACTATTTATTACTCAAGTATTATTATATGCATGTTGCCATCGTGTAAATGTCTTGCAAATTAAAAGTATCCCTTAAAAGAGTCATGTATGAGAAAGACACCATTTTATTTTTCTTCAACTCAATCAAGTACATGCTTTTACTAGTTGTGGTGGTCACTTTACCCCTAAAACTTAATTTCTAGACTGCTTTGAGTAGTGGAGTAATAAATACGGAGTAATAATACATGAAATCAAATGCTTTTGTTTTGGGACAAAGTCGCAAGGCATTCTTGAAAAATGACTCTTTCTTTGGGATGCAGGGAGTCGTAAAAGAAATGGATGGGTTATACATTCATTCCTCAGAAAGTTGTCAAGGGAAGGATTCAAGTATTTTATGAACGGGATCATGCTGGATAAGATATCTGTAAAGAGTATTTAATGGATTGTAAAGATTTTTTGATGGATTACATGGATTAGTGGATTGTTTTCAATCCATTGGATATTATTGGAAAATGAAAATTTATGCAATCCATCCTATTGACATTCTTAAATGGTATCCATGATAAACATATGCTTATTTTAGACATCTACAGTTATTGTAAGCATGCATATAAAATTGCAAATCGTGCACTACTAGGAAAGATGATCACTTGCACTCTTTTCCAGTAGTTGCACTGTCCTTATACTACATCAATGTTGTGCACCTGTAAATGTGTATGCAAATGGATTTGAAGGATGACTTACTCTACCAGTCCACCAGATTCAATCTAACTGGTGGATGAGTAACTCTTCCAGATCCAAAACCTATATAAATGTGGTGACAGAGAGACGATTTTGGATGTGATACTCCCTTGGTCCGTCTGATTTAAAGGCTCTCCGTGCAGTTTATGATGGTTGACTAGTGATAAACAAATGTAAGCATGAATGAAATATACAGAAACAATGTTAAAAGTTCTATGAAATCATGAGAATCAAATACAAAACGATCAAAACTTATATAAAGTTAGAGATTAAAAGAGCGTTAAGTTGGCCATGTGCCCATGTGAGTAATGTAGGAACTCTGAATGGGAACACATGGAGTATAAAGTCTCCCAATTAAGTTCAAAAATGAAAACCGTTAAATAAATAGCAATATAGTTTTCATAATTTTATTAGTATTACAGTTTCCAACTTCTATTAGGTTTATAGTTTATGTTTTTTATTCTTACAGGGTTTAGACCCATTAATTATTTATATAAGTATTGCCATATGCTCTATACAAGCATTAGAGTGGCCTAAAAATTATCAAGTTGTGACTTCAAAATCATATCAATAAAAATAGTACTCCGTAGTTTGTTGTTTTACAAAACTTTCTACGTAGTATTAGAATAAATAAATGCACCAGCAGAAATGACAATAAAACTGATTTTTTTCCTTCTGATAGATACATTTGTGGTTTGTACAGCCATGGGAAAAATCCAAAATCTGTTCAAGCCAAGCGTGTTCTAGTCTTCAGTTTCACAAGAAAACAAGGGAAGGTGGAAAGTGGGGTGGAGCCTGTACTTTGTCTGGATTCCCAGTTGGGAAGCAAGTGGTTTGGTCACTATCTCATCCTCTGGGGTAGGGTGGTATTATTTTCACACATATTTTTTGCACTCTTTCTTTTGCACCAACCATGTGTATCTTTTATCATCCACTCCCAGTTCCAGTTTATCTATAGTGCTGTCAATCATTAAGTGTTTGTTTGCAGATTCTTTTTGAATTGTTTTCAATTGGCTGGATTGTTGGAATGATTTATCTAAGGTTTGTTTGTTCATTTGTTTAGTAGAATCGATGAAAGATTTTATAAAATGACAGGTAACTAAAACATCATCATGCTTTTAGGCATGATCATAGTGGTGTATTTGGGAGAAGGGTAGGTTCTGTGGTTCCAAACAACTGTTGTACTTTTTTTTTTGAAGGAAACAACTGTTGTATGATTATTTTCCTCTAAGATTGGAACAAGAGCGAGTAGTACGATTATTAAGAAAATAAATTATTTAATTCATATGAAATTGGTAAAGTATGAATGAATTATGATAACTTAAATTTGAAAAATGCTAGAGGTGTTCCATTTTGGGGTACCTCATTTGTACCCCCTATGCGAGTGGATCACAAAAGCACTTCATTAAAATGGAACAATTAATTTAATATGTTGGGTTTTTGTGAACCACTCAATGAGTGAGGTACAATTGTACAAATGAGGTACCCGAAAATGGGGTACCTCTAGCATTTCTACTTAAATTTACTCCCTCCATCCTTTAATTATCTTCCAAAGTACATTTGATATGAGAATTTAGATTGTGTATAGTGTGTGGTGAAGAGCTGTGCAGGTGGGAGAAAAATGTAAGAAAGTGTAAGAGATATTGTGAATAGTGAACCACAAATTCTTTGTCAAGAAGAAAATAATAAGATTATTTTTGGATAGATGAAAAAGGAAATTTGGAAAATAATTGAGGGAGGTATGTAGGGAGTATCAAATGTAGTACTCCGCATCAGACAATTCTTGTTAATCTTGTACATCATTTTTTTTAATACTCCGCATATATAGTCTAACACTTGGTATGATTTATGAATTTATCCGTTTCTCTGATCTTCTTTCCGGAAATAACATTAGGTTTTGTTTGATTTGATTTGTACATTTTTTTGTCTCGATCAACCTGTACGTTTTAAAAATCATTTTAAAAGGGGCGCGATAAGTATAAAAATGATAAAGGAAGTGCTTAACAGAAGATATATTATCTGGATTTGATATCAAATGGAGTAGGCACATTTAAGGAGAATGGCCTACTTGGCACTTATCCTCCATTCTTGAGTTATTACTTACTAGCTTTCAAGCCCGTGCGATGCACGGGCAATACATAATTTATCTAATTGTAAATTTGATATTTTCGGAATCATATACGTATGTAGTATAATATAATGTGACGCAAAAGGAAAATAAACTCAGTCTAATATAAAATTAGTTGAATTGTATGACTCTACCGTAATGAACTAAATCTAACTGATCGGGCTAAATTGACGGAATCTCCCAAATTATGAAAAAGTAAAATAAAATATACTACGTATTACGTATATAATTAATAAAACAAATTAAAATTTATATGAAAAATATTTAAAATGGACTTGTACATAAGCATCTGAACTAAACATAATTGTTATGAATCCGATTTTAAAGAATTCACACAAAAGTTTCTTAATTAACTTCACATTATATTACTTCATTAAGCATCTTAAAATACTATTTTTTTAAATATTTCTCATTCAACATGGTATGAAATAAGTATTTGTAAATTTATTAGTATGATCATACATTTTACTCATTATTCCGTCACATTGAGAATGTAAGAAAATGGATCATTTTTACTATTTACCAATTTATTTCGTCACATTGAAAAACGTCATTAATAAGATATACTCACTTCGTCCCCCTTATATTGTCTCATTTTACCTTTTTGGGAAATCCCACTCAAATTGCTTCATACCATATTTGGTAAAGTTTGTGTGGCTCTAAATCATTCTTATTTATTCTTACTTTTATCAATTAATATCAACCACACAAACCCACTTTTCTTAAAAATCATGTCACCCTCTTCTGTCTCAATATAAGAGGAACGGAGGTAGTATCAAATTAGATTGACTTTTTCAGTTCTAATTTGGTTTGAAGTAATATAGTGTGGAAGATGTCTATTATATGTATAATAATAATAATAATAATAATAATAATAATTTTTGTTATTATGATTGATGTTTGATCTGATCTTGTCTGAGACTGAAATCAGTTGAATTAAAAACATTCTAAATATATGAAGATTTCTTAATTCGTATTAGGAATCTATTACAGAAGTGGGGGAATATTTAAATTATAGTTGTAAAAATAAAGAAACAACTAAACATATATGATTTTCCATTCTTATAAAGGTAAGGTGCTTGATCAGAAGTTTTACTTGTCTTCATATATGAACGTCTAATAGTATATATCAATTTCATTTTTAAGTTAAAAAATCTTTTGGTTATAATTTCCAATAACTAAGAAAGTATTATCACAATTGCAAATCTATCTAAGCGAAGGCTTATAATTTTAGTCATTATCGCATTGAGTTTAGAAAACATACTGAAAAAGAGATTGAGTTTAGAAAAATAAAATTTCACATTTAGGAAATGGAACACTATTATTACCTTTTTATTTTTATAAAATAACTTTGAAGAACAAAATTAATAGCAATATGGATTATTTATCTATTAGGTGGGGAAAACACGGATAATTCATTTCTCAGTAGAATGTAATAAAAAATAAAAGGTATAAAAATAATTAAATAATTTATATAAAATATAGTTTATGTGTAGGGATGGCTATAAAAGTTACGTAGTATCAAATAATTATTACAAAAATGTTACGTAGTTTTTGCAATAATTATTACGTAACTTTTATTATATAATTTGATACAAAATATTTTGTCCAAATATAATGTATTTGATAAATACTTTGATACTTACTTCAAAATATATTTTGATACTTACTAATAGGTTATGTATTATTTGCAATATTTTGATAAAAGGTCATGTATTATTTGCAATACTTTGATACTTACTACAAAATAATACATAACCTTTTATATATATTTTGATACTACAAAAATAATTAAATAACTTATATAATTATTTGTCTATAAAAGTTACGTAGTATCATAATATTGCAAATAATATGGAGTAAGTAAAGGTTCTCAAAAAGTTACCTAGTATCAAATAAGGTGGATTATAAAAGATTGTACAATATTTTGTTTCCATATCAATATGCAATAAAAAAATAGAATGTAAAAAAATAAAAAAGTAATTAAGTAATTATTATATATGATGACATGGTAGGATTATGTGGCACACCGCATGCTCTTAAAAAGTTCCTCTTTTATATATATATATATATATATATATATATATATATATATATATATATATTGATTAGGTCTAGAATTCATTGGTGTATTTTGCCGGAAATAATATACTTTTTTTGTCTCACTAAAATTGGGCCAAATTTAGTGGAATGAAAGTAGTAAACTCACTATTATCTATTCTTATCTATAATATACTTATATATAATTTTTATTTATTTATTCTTACTTTATCAATTTTATATCAACAACATAAATTCGTTTTTCTTAATAATCACGCTACTTTCTCATGTTCCAATGTTAGTGGAACGGGGTAATAATAAAAGAAGTATTTTAACTCTTTTATTAAGAGAAACTATGTTTAGATAACCCCAAATATATGTTATTAATCAATCAATGATAATATATTTTATAGAAATTGTTTAAATAATACGGAGTACTATTTTTTTTTGAATATGTAATAAATAATGAGGATCATATGAAGTCACCTTTCTGACAATAAATCACGTCGTTTTTTAATCAGGTCGTTTTTCTATTATGGAGTATATGGACTAATATTCAAGTATTTAACCCTCACAAATCGTGCCTATTGTGTAGATATTTATACGATGCATTTGTATTTCGTATTCTTCAAAATGTTGCATATTACTCCATATATATGTTGCAGTGAAATAATACAGACTAATTGCTTATTAATTTTCATAGTGCTACATAAAAAAAATGATTATATTACCAAATGATGTAATTTGTAAATTATGACTTAATTGCATTTGATCGCTTATCTATCAAACAAGAGTTCGTTTGATAGTTCATACATTAAAATTTTACATGTAAATTGATTGCGTGCGAATCGTAGGGTTGTATTAATTTGCACGTAAAGTAATAATACATCGTTTAACCGTGTAATCGATTACAACACAAACTCCATACTTCGTAAGCCGTTCACCACTAATGGAGTCATGGTAAACGTTGGTCATTTTCATCCAAAAAAATGATAAACGTTGGTCATCTTTTCAATATATTATGATATTCTCGAACTCTCGTATATAATATATATATATATATATATATATATATATATATATATATATATATATATATATATATATATATATATATATATATATATATATATATATATTAAAAAATACTAGTACATGATAAAAGTTTCAGAAATAAAAAATCACAAATTAAAACTAGGGATTAGGTCATGAATAAAACTAATTAAATGGATTTCGGCAAATATAGGACCTGATGCAGGTCACTTTTTTGTCTAATTTTGGAGACGGATGCGAGCGTTTATGCGATGGAATAGTTAGCAGGTCACTTTTTTGTCAAATTGAATTTGGTCATATTTTTATGGGAAAAGTACGGAAAAGATGCTTGTGGTTGGGCCCGTTTTCAGATAGGGTCACATGTTTCATTCGTTATCAAAGTGGTTCATGTGCTTGAATTCCGTTATCACAAGAGGGTCACGCCGTTAAAAACGTCTGAAAAAGACAGTTAAAAGTAACTCCGATTTTCAAAAGTGCCCGAAAAAGTAAAAGAAAATACCGGAAAGTGTGCCTCAATAAGACGACCACTAGGCCATATTTCTTTTGTGTTTTCAGCCACCCTTGTCACCGCAAAGTCCACCGGAAAAGTGATATTAGCTAAATCGTTTTTAAAAAATAATTCAAACAGATCTAAAAAATCCAAAGGCGAAGGTGGTTTGGAGGTCATCTTGACGAGACGCACCTTTCCGTATTTTTCGTTTAATTTTCCGGCCGACACTTTTGAAAATCGGAGTTACTTTTAACGGTCTTTTCAGACGTTTTTAACGGCGTGACCCTCTTGTGATAACGGAATTCAAACACATGAACCACTTTGATAAAGAATGAAACACATGACCCTATCTGAAAACGGGTCTAACCACAAGTACTTTTTATCTACAACAACTCTAGAAGTAATATATATGCCATTTTTTCTTCCTTTTTTGGTTATAATA